CCGGGCGGGGAGGGGCCCACCGGAGGGCGCCCCCAGCGCGGCGCTCTCAGCGCTCAGCGTGCGAGGCGCAGCTGGCAGTCGGCACTGATTTCGGGGGTCCAGAGCCTTCCCGACGTCACTGGTCTGCCTGTTCGGCCGAGCGGGTGGGGGAAACGCCTGCCGGGTGAGGGGAGCGCCGTGGTCCGCGTGCACACGCTGTCACCTCCCTCCCTGGCTTTTCTTCTCAGGTCGCTCTGGAACCCCGGGTGGGGAGGGGTGCCTCAGGGTCTCTCCTTGCTCCGTGCGGCCCCCTCAGGGCTCACCTGCCCTCCCCGAGCCCGCGGGCCTGTCTGTCTGGTGGCCCGCTGGGCGTCTCGGCCCAGATGTCGCAGAGGCCCTGGTTCTCAGCCGCTCAGTGTGCAGTGTCTCTCGGCCGGCCTGCGCCTTCCCGCTGCTGTCTCTGTGCACGTGGGCCCCGCCGTCAGCCAGCTGTGTGGCGGGGCGGTGGGTCTGTGTTCGTCAGAAGAGCAGCGGGAAGCCATCCGGAGGAGCTGGGCCGTGGCGTTGAACGGTCCTGACTGGCAGGACCCAGAGACAGAGGGCCTGCTGGACGAGACCCTGGCCAGGGCCAGGAGACGCTGGCACCGGCCTCAACCTGCTCTTGAGTGAGCTTGGGCGAGCGCCTTCCCCACCTCGGCTTACTTCCAGACCAGCAGGAAAGCACTCGTAGCCCCCAGCCTGCCTTCCCGGGCGACCCGTAGATTGGCCGATGGTGACGGGTCATCCCAGCCTCACCCCCACGGCCTCCCAGTGACAGACAGTGCCAGAGGGGAGCAGCGAAGTGACACAGTGCGGCGATGGGCCAGACCCCACAGGGGAGACTCTCCAGGACAGAGGAGGGGGTGTCATGGAAGGCTCAGAGGGGTGGGCCCTGAGGGGTAGGATCGGGCTGGATAGGCAGGAAGGGGCGCTGGGTGTCGCAGGCCGGGGCGATGGGGCGCCCAGCAGAGGGTCGAGCTGGGCCAGGGAGGCGCCACCTGGAACGGGAGGTGTTCTCCCCGCCGCCTGGGCCTGACGGGCCTTCTCCCCTCCAGCCGACCTGCACAATGCCACCAACCTGCGGTCTCGGTCCCTGTCCGGCACGGGGCGCTCCCTGGTCGGGTCCTGGCTGAAGCTGAACAGAACAGACGGGAATTTCCTTCTTTATGCACATTTAACCTACGTCACTTTGCCGCTGCACCGGATTTTAACAGGTAATTCTGACTTTGCCTGGGACCTCTGGGAAAACCATGGCCCCTGAAGGTGTCCCCGTGGGCCGTGCCCTGGCGCCCACCCCGTTATAGTCGAGGGGGAGGCGGAGCTTTCACTGACGGGCCGCAGGGCGGTGCCGGGCAGTGGCTCCAGAGTCCCCGCGTGAGCCCCGTTCCCCGTGGCCTCGCCAGGCAGTGCAGCTGCTCCAAGCCCATTCGTTCCCCGTCTGCACGGAGGGTGGTCACAGCACCACAATTACCCGAGGGTTGGAAGAGAAAACGCCCGTGAACGGCGCGGCGTGCTTCCTTCGTAAACGGAGCACTGGGGTGTGACGGCCCGCGTCTTCCCCGCCGCCCTAGACATCCTGGAAGTACGGCAGAAGCCCATCCTGATGACCTAGCCGCGTGCGGGGCCCACGCGGAGCCCCCAGCCCTGCCCAGTCCTGGGAGTGCTGCCAAGTGCCTACCTGTCCACCGCCACTGGGGTCTTCCGGGACCACCCAGCGCCGCAGCCGGAGCCAGGCGGGACCACTCGGCTCCCGGGGCAGGGCCAGCTCCACCAACACCAGCCCAAACTGAAGTGCCTCGTTCTCCCCGCTGGCTCTGCTCCTGCCCACCCACCCGGCACCCTCAGCCCGTCTCTGGAGAACCCTCTGCACCCAAAGAGGACCAGAGATGCCAAGAGGCATAAGAGAGAGCAGAGGAGCAGCCAGCATCCAGAGAGAGTCCAGCCCTCTGGACCCCATGTACGCATCCCGACAGGCGGCAGGCAGAGACCACTGGCTGGGGGCACGCAGTGTGTCAGACTGTCAGCACTTAAGGAACGGTGGTTTCAGATTTTGTGACACTGTACCGATGACCTTCAGCATCCAAGTCAGTCCCGATCGTCTGTCCTCCCTCGTTTACTCCTGGTTGTAGATGGGTTTCCACGGGGAGCGGGGAACACGGCTGTCTGATGGTTTTGCCCTGGGCTGGGAATACCTCACCCCGTGCCCGGTTCCAGACGGGCCCCCATCCTGCCAGAATGGCCTTTGCTTCCAGCCAAAGAGCATCACCAACACACACACCTCCAGCTTGGAGACAGCCACCCCGCCTGCGCCTCAGCTGGCGTGGCCTGCGGAATTTGGATCCTGAGGGCAGGAGGGAGGGCTTGGTAGCCAGACAGGAGAAGGGTGGGGCCCCTGCCAAAGGGCGAGGAGGGGTCTGCGTTCTCCCAGGAAGGTTCCAGGCAGAACCTCCGTCCTCTGGGGCCAGGGGAGGGGATAGGGTGTTTCACCTTCCCTGGTTTCTTAGAGCTTATTTCCTTTGAATGGGCGTGCTGGTCCCATTTCTCAGACCAGTCACTGAGGCAAAGGGGAACTGGCTTCCATGTGGCTCGTCAGGCCTCGTTCCAGCTTGAGGGGTTTCCACCTATGGTGACACATTGCGCTCTTCTCAAAACCGTGAGCCCCCTCGAAAACAGAAGCGTTTCCCCTGCCCACGGGAATAAGCCGTCAGCTGGGTCTCTGCTGCTCTGTTTTGCTTGCGTCCTCAGGAGGGTTTGAAGGGTTCCTGGTGTACTGGGGTTGGAGATCCTCTGGGGTAGAAGAGGGAGAGGGGGAGGGGCTCGTTTTCCCGTCCGTTTCCATTCTGCGCGTTCTAAGGGTCTGCGCTGGGCTCCGGAAACCGGGGACTACTTTGGGGCTTCTCCAGATTTTGTATATGCTGTTATTAAAAGCGAGCTACTACTGCATTTCATTCTGCCTCAGTTTGCCCACCTGCCGATGGGGCTGATACCACCTACCTCACCGCAGTCTCCAGGGTTCCGGTGCACGACCGGGTCAGGGCGAGATGGCCAGCCCTCCTGCATAGCTCAGCTCAGGTCGGGTGGCAGACCATCGGGACGCTTACCCAACCCCACAGCCCGGTCACCAGGCCGGGGAGGCGAGTGGTGGGGTCGGGGCGAACGTTCTTGCGTTCTCTGACAGCGCCCGGCTTGTGCTCGGCTGCATCTCGGCTCCCCGCACAGCTTCACGTTCCAGAACTGTGTCTTAGGGCAGCAGAGTCAGGTCACGCCCCAGAGTGTTGGAGCAGAGCCTCAGGGAGCCGTGAGCCTGGCCCGGTGTTCCCAGGTGACGGGTGAGTGTTCTCTGGGGAGCCCAACTCTGCCGCCACGTCTGTGTCCGGGGCGGCTGAATTACAGCTTTTCCTTCAGGCTCCTTTTCTTCCTGGTCTTCCGGGGTCTGAAGACTCTGGCTCAGCTCCTGGGAGAAATGCAGTCCTAAGGCATCTGCCGCGGAGGGATGGGGTAGTTTCGCACATGCGCAGTGCAGCCGCCCTCCCGTTCTCCTGGGGGAGGAGCCCGAGAAGGGTCCGCCCACACTGGAGCCAGATATCGGCCCCTCCTCAGACGTAAGTTCTGCCTCGAAGGGTAACGGAGGGCCAGTTGCAAGGAACGCGTGAACGTGCTTTGCGGAGCTTAGACGTGCGGGCCACGGTGGTCTTAGAGATCACGCCTCACTGGTAAAGTGCGTGAACGTAGGTAGCACCTAGCATGTGCAGGCACCGCGCTAAACGTTTAGCTGCTGTCATCACCCGCTTCTTACAGATTAGGGAGCAGCCACACACGGAGGGGTTGGGACAACAGGAGCCCAACCCGGGCGTCTGGCCCCAGTCGACACTGAGCCTCGACACCATGCTGCCCCAGGACTGATGCACGAACGTTCCGTGGAATCGACCCTTCCCAGTCTTAAATCCTCCAGAGGCTGCTTCTGACACTGAATTTAAAACATGCTTAGAGGCACTTGGTAACTAGGCAGTAAGCTGTTCCTCTGAGTTTTGCTTTTCTCAAAGTCACAAATGACATCAGTAACAGAGTGACAAGTGACGGGGCCAGAACCGGGGCCCCGACATCCCGGGGCGTCCTGGTGTTGACACGTCTTGCTTCCTGTAGGGCCATCTTTCGTTTTCTGGAAACATGCCTGTCTCTTGTATAACCAGGGGACAGCCAAAGCGCGTGAACATCTCTTAAACGGGAATTGGAATCAAAGTACAGCTTTCCTTTGAAGAAACCTGTAACCTCTAAGCTTTTTAGGACATTTATAAGAGAGTTATCTTCTTTTTAGAGTCAGACCCGTGTCTTCTCTGTTTCCATCTCCTTCAGCACCCGAAGGTTCAGGCAGTGTTTAGTCTCCATTCCGATGTCTGATGGAAGGAACTTTCAGTTGTCTGTGCAAACGGCTGAGGCTTGTTATTTCAAAAGAAGGGTATTATTTTTAAGTAACAGAGAAGCGGTCAAAGAGAAGAAAAGGCAGAATATTCTAAAGCCAGTCAACTTGGAGATAGCGTGGGTTTTCTGGCGAGTCAGAGCCTTGCTAACGTTTGGGCTTTTCAAGGACTGTGAACAAATAATCAGAAATCAATTAGGTTTCTGTCAATGATAGTAAGGACAGACAGGCATGTTCCTGATGTGATTTTTTTTTTTTTTTTTCAAAGAATCTAGCTAGAATCGAACCAGGACCTATTTTTGCTGTTTTAATCACAGATAAACTGGTCAGTAGAGATTTTTGAAGAATGATGTGAAAACTTTTTCTATTTCTTAAAAGACATCCCAGAGGAAGTCCCTATGCAGTTGGTACATTCTAACGACTGACTTCTGAACAACATTGGACATTATCATAATGAGGGGGTTTTAAATTGCTGGCCAAAATTCTTCAAAGATTTACCTTGAAAATATAGATTTACCTATAAAACTGTCAACTTTTTAATGCGCCTTGGTGATAGGTTTCACTCCGATAATTCTGTTCAGTTTTCCAACGTAGCTGGAATTTAGTTACAAAAACCAAGTGTCTTTTGCCAGTACATTGATTATTCCTGTGCAGGCTTTCCCTCTTCTGTGTATCAGACAGCAGAATTACTTCCCTTCAAAAAGATAACCGCCCTAATAGGGCACAGACTCCGACAGGGATGTGATGCTGGCCGACATCGGGCCCTGGAGCTGGACTGGAAGTAGGCTCTGGAGGCGTCAGCAGCCCTCCGGGAGTCGGGTGACTGGGTGCACCAGGGCTTCTTTCCTTTGTTCCTGTTCACTGACGGCCGTGATCCTCAGCGGAGAAGGAATCCTGCAGCCCTTCGTCTGAGCCCCAGGAACAGACAGCCCTGGAGAACTCCTCGGGACACCGCACAGAAGCCAAATCACTTGAACACCGAGTGGCCTGGGGCTGGGTTCAGAGTCCACAGCAGGTAGAGCCTCAGAAGCAGAGGCAGCCAGCCGCGTGGAGGCGTTGGTGTTTACAGTTTTCTACTCTTCCCAGGGCAGGCGGGCATCTTCGCGGCTGTGGTTCCACCCCTGAGCTCGGTAGATGAAAAGCAACAGCGACGTTCCAACTCTGCTGAGCCGCTGCCAGTGTCCAGTCTTTAGTCCCCCACTTCCTAGAAGGTTGGACGATTTAGGTGTAAATAGCGATCTTTTATGGTCTCCAAACGAGTTGTGTGTGTGAGAATATGTAAACCTGTGAAGAAAACCTGTTGAGATTTTTCACTACTTTGAGGCCTAAAATGATTTCTACAAAATATATTTTAGCAGAAACAGAAACACCAGGACGGCATACACTGACTATATTAGGAGCTAACTGGCAGTGCTGTTTCCATAAGCACTGTCAACAGCTTCTGGATTAACCATCTTCCACATACAATAGAAATAATTTCTAAGCAGTTGTTTGTGGTTGGCTGCTAGCTGTGCTTTATGATTTTGCAATTCTTTTGGAAGTTGATTTGCATGTTGGGTATTATTTATTTCTTCTCTGATGAATCTGTACCTATTTTTTTCTCCAGTGGGTGTTTCAGATTACAGATATTACAGCAGTGTGCTAATTTACTGATCGAACCTTAATTTCCCCCCAGAGGTGTCTTAAACTTCTTTTGGAGCTTTCATTACCCTGGCTTTGGCAGGCCTGGGAGTCAGCAAGGGGTTCTGGAGGCCAGCAGCTGCAATTTGGTCAGATGCTGTATTTGCAAAATGAAATCAGAGATGTGTTTCAGGGTCAGCTCTCTCAGCCCCTGTGAAGTCAGTTATACTATAAAATTCCCAAGCCTTTGCCAGAGAACCTCTGCAAAGGCCCTGAGAGAAGTGGGAAAGTGACTAGAATAAAAGGAGTCCCAAGTTCACGTTCTGGCAGGCTTCGCATGAGCTACTGGTCTTCTGGAAGGTGGTTTTGGACCGTGGCTGGCTGTTGCCTCCCAGCCCCGGTTCATCGGGTTGACACCGAGAATGCTCACAGCCCCTCAGGCTGACTCTGCCAGAGCCTCCTACTCCGGTTCCTGCAGGTGGGAGCACTGCTCAGGCAGTGGGCTTTTTCTTTCCGTGGTCAGGTGCACTCTTACGTCATAGGGTGATGGGCACAAGTAAGGCCTAAGACACTGT